TTGTCGGGCGCGGCACCCTGGACAGTGAATGCCTAACTAGCTCCAGAGCCATGTGCCACGACGGGCAGTGGCGGATCAGCTGCTCGGTGTAAGAGGCAGGAAAAACGAGTGTCTTATGCGTTGGCCCATCGTCACGACGGAACAACTCAATAACCACTTCCCATGGCAACCTTTGCGCAAGGCACGCTACATGGAAGGGGTGCAGAGCATCCCGCACTCTCTGCAGCTCCTTCGCCTCTGCCACACGTTCATCCTTCTTCTGTGAGGCAAGTGCATGAAACAGCCTCTTGTCAGCGCGACTGAGTAGCTGCACCGCAGCCCCATTCCGCACCGCACCCAATGCCGCTACAGGCTCAGAAGCACCGGCGTGTGCACACTCGGCGCTGACAGCCTCCACCAGCTGGCGCCACTGCAGATCGTCTGAGAGGAAAAACAACAGTGACGAGCGCAGTCGTGCCTCCACCGTGGGTTCCACTCTGTGCACTGCAAGGCCCACAACTCCGTGACTTGCGTCCCATACTGTTCCATCACCCCCCAGCAAGGCCCCATCAAGGTCCACGTGCGGCGTTGCCGCCTCCAGTGCATCGAGCAGGTGAAGTGCCTGGCCCCACCGCAGCCAACGACGAGTATTGAGCCGTCTGCATCGCCGCCTTTGACCTTTCACAGGCACCAGACGATGACACCGTTTGAGTGTCATGCCCCGTACTCATCGTCGTTCCTGTTCTTCGACGATCGTTGATCGTTGTCTGTGGAAACCAACGCACTTAGGGGAAGCATGAGGTCCGAAAAGACATGCAGCGGCGCAGCAGGAGTGAGCCACTCGTTGCGTTTCACAAAGGAAATACGAAGCAACGGCCAGATGGCAGTGGATCGCATTAACGCTGGACTGCAACTAAGCAAACGTCCGGTAGAAACCTGAACGACGTGCTGCAGAATGGTGTCCATCACTGTCAGCTGGTGGCCATGAAGTTGCCCGCTAAGCAACAAGGCGAGCAGTCGCTTTTCCACAATTTTTGGAAAAGCAGAAAGCCGCCGATACGTGATGTGTCTCACAGCAACTGCGTGCTCCGCGTCCCCTGCAACGTCTGCCGGATCCAACGCCAGTAAAGCGGCGGTGCAAAGCTCTTCATCCATTCGAGCGACGGCACGAGCAGCAGGGGAGGCCGTAAGAACTTTAAAAACTCTTGACGCCTGACTTCCTTGCGCCACCGATGGAGGCTCCGACGAGGCTCAGAAGCGATTCTGTGTCTGCAACGCGTTAAATACAGAGACGAGGGCGACTGGACTCCACAGGGCCTTGAATGTTTCGTGCGACGTGGAATGAGCCGCGTCCACAATAGCATGCAAGCACGCATGCGGGCAGCAGGACCAAGACATGGCCCTCTGTGCCATTTGCGGTAGCTCCGCTCGCCCTTCACAGAGCAGCACATAAATGAAGGTGCACCCAGCCTCTTGCATAGTTCGCAAGTGTCGTGGCGAAACGAGCGTGAGGTGATCCTCAAAAGGTGACCGCGCAGAAAACCCATTAGAAAGCGGAGGGAGCGTCTCGGGCGTCGCCGCAGCAGACATCTTTGCCGTGGGTGGGATGGTGAAGGCGCCGGCTGTAACGGCGGAGGCCAAAACTTCCGGTACCCGCATGGTAATGCTGTGGATGGCCTCTAGGAGAAGCGGCACAACCAGCTGCCTCTCCTGCTGCCCTGCATCTTCCCTGTGTGAAGGCAACGAGGAGTATACTCCCTGCCAGACCTCCAGCGTTGTAATGTCATTGACCAACGCCGCAACAGTGCGTGTCTCGGTTTCTATTCCCTCGTGTTTTGCTTGCGGCGGCGTGGTAGGGCCCGTCCCATTGGTGCTTATCACAAGCAACCAACACGCTCCAGGCGGAGGGCCGTTACGTATGACGTCGGCAACCACGAAACCTGCTAGCACAGCAGCCAGCGGTAGTGCTGTTTCAACGACGCCAACACGCTTCCGCCGGCGTGGGAGCGGCTAAACAAGGTGAGCCAAACATACAACGTGTAGTTGACATCCCATACGCAGTTTATGACCTTTTCAATACACACATCCACTTCCGCGCCAACCGCCGCCCGAACCGCGCCCAACGCCGCAAAGAAACACCGCTCAAAATCCTCGCAAAGCCTCATGTACTCTATGGCCCCCTTCTCCACCTCGTTGACTACGACGTCGGTGGGCGTCGAGTGCTATCTTCATGATGAGAAAATGGAAAGTGTGACGCAGTTTGTCTAGCACTGCCGCCAAACTCTCCGCGAAGACGCTCACCCTTCCAGAGATTGCCGTTGCCGCCCTCGTTGTTGCGGTGGTGAAGAAATTGTTAGCCTGCAGCAGTTGAAGAAACGACTGATACACCAATGCCCAATCCTGTAGCACCTCTTCGTGGTGCCCGCTAAGTGAGGCACTGAACCACAACCGTCAGCGCCGCCAGTGCCTCCGAGCACAGCCGATGATGCGGCTCCGTTGGCGTCATCGCTGCTGCTGCTGCTGTTGCGACTGTGGTGGTGCCCTCCGCCTCTCGCCGGAAAAGTCTCAAAAACAGGGGCTGCAGAAAACACCGCAGCAACCCCTTCACACGGTGTCGGCCAGCCCACACGAGGGTCTCCAAAAGAAGCTCGTGTGACAGCCACACGACAGGGTCAACGAGGCTGGGCGACATATCCAGGGAGGCGACAAGCGTCCCGAGCACAGGAGGTGAGGCTTCGTCCAACAACCAACTCACAGCGACGCCCTCCACCAACCCATCTTCGGGGCGAGCGCAGCACCGTACAAAGGTCCTCAAAACCCGGAGTGTTGATTCAGTTGCCTATAACTCGGTAGACTTATGCTGAGACAGCGGGCTGCGAAACCAACGCAGAGAGCGCAGGCACTCCTGCCAAAGCGTTCAGCGGCTCATATGTGATGTGCCTATTTGGTGCCAAACGGCATGCAGCACCACATCCACCACAAGTTCCGCTTCGGTGCGAATCCCCTCATTCGCTTCGCCTGCAAGCTGAAGAACAATTTCCTTTAAATGGTCTCTCAAGGCGTAGAGCAATGCAGTGGGTGGCTCAGCCTGCATCTGCAGCTGTTGTAAAAGCTGCAGTGTCTCCGCGAGAAGAGCGATGCAAAGGGCCCTGCCCCACCTCCTCTTTTATTGTGAATTATAATAAGCTGCAGCAGAGCATGCACAACATCGTTTGAGGCATATACGACGTTGCTATCAAAGCCCTACCAATAATCCTGGAGCTGCGGTTCTGTATTATCTCTACGTTTGACGGTTTCAAGCAGCTGCATTGCCATAGTTCCGTCTATCCAGCCCTTTGCGAAAGCGCGTTGGGTTAACTGCAGTGCAGCGGAAGGGTGGCAGGCCGCACTGCACACGGCGTGGCGAATGGCCACTGCGGTGATTGTGGTGCAGCTGTAACGATCCGCACAGTTCACTGCATCGGCCACAATAACGTCTGGGTGACGTGGGCGACGACGACCTTCAGGCGCCTCCCGTATAATTTCTTCGTCACGGATGACATGTGCCAAGAGATTAAAGGCAGCCTCCCACTGCTGCTGTCTCTGTAGCAAATCGGTGGCAAGACTCACGACGAGGGTATCAGGCCTTCGAATAAGTGCCACCTGTGAGACCGCCTTCGCCCATATGAGCTGCGGAAAACTATCTGTGCGCCGCCCGCCAGCATCTACGCTGCCCCCGCCTTCGGATGCTTGCAGAAACCGCAGGAGCGGCGCATATACAGATAGTCACGCCCTACATAAATCATTTTCAGATCTGGAAAATTGGCGCTGTATGCTCTGAACGGAAGAGTTTTTGCCGCACAAGTTCCTTCCTCCGTCTCCGTCGCCAACTCCGCCATGGTGACGGCGTGGGAGGCTTGCCTCGCGTCATGCAGGGACGGCGGCCTCCTTCCTGCTCTTCAGGAGCAACACCCGCAGGACCCGCGGCATCTCCTTCGCGTGACACTCGGCGCGGTGTGGAGAAGCATCGCGTGATGCCTGCACTGGAGCCACGCCGCCCGCAGCTCACGCAAAACACACAAAACAAACAGACTTTCCCCTTTTCCTTCCTCTTCAGGCCCCCAACTCGCTCGTCACAGACAGCAAACATAACACCCGCACTAGGCAAAAACACAGAAAGAGAGAGCGAGAGAGAAAGCAGAAGCAGGCAGTGCATGCCAAGCGGGTTCCATGCCGGCGATTTCACCACCTACACAAACGCGCAGAAGCAGATGCCCACATTCCTCTTCGTTGACATAGGATTTCACATCCCAGCTCCCGTGGTGGTGTTTACCCCCCGCCCCGCCCACCAGTTTTCTCTCTTTCCCGCCCTTACAACACACACCTTTGCTCCTCCCTCCCTTGCGTTTCTGTACGTGCTGCCGCTCCCCCCCCCCACCGCCACCGCCACCGCCACCGCCACCGTCGGTCTCTACGTGGAGGCGCG